TTATTCTATTTTTGTATATTACTAAAAACAACTCACGTACCAAACCTGTACGGCCTGGAGCCATGCCATATAAAGTTTTCTAAACCAACTTTGACACAAATGAACTCTATCCGACAATAATTTTGTCGGGCGTATATGTCGGGGGCGCATATTGTATTGTGAGCGCTTCTGTCGGGAAGCGCATTTGTCGGGACGGTTTTGTTGGGACGCATTTGAGGGATCACCCTGTGGGCGTATCATACTCGAATTATTTAAGAAAATTGTATAGTCACGTGAAAATTTTTCAGCAATAATTCAAGCACAAAGTTTAGTGAACATTATTTTGCGTAATGAAAAATTTATTTAGATAACGCATCACCTGGTATATGATATTTACGTGAAAACAGTAAATATCGATACCTTTTTGCCAACATTATAAATATGACTGTCACATTTTTAATTATTTTAAGTCAAAGCTATTTTATTTATAAAATAAAATTCTTTTATACATTTCATGCCAATCATATTTGAAAGGAGTAGTGTAAGTATCAACAACATTAAAAATCTAGTTTTAAATGACTTTGATTATATACGTTTTAAATTTAAATAGTTAAATAAATACACCGCAAAATTAACGTATAAAAATGATACTTAAAAATTATTTTTTCAACTGTTTTAAAAAGGCGCTGGCTCTTGATAAATATGTTTTACAAGTTGCCTTCAAAGTTTGGCAAGTTTTTCGTATTTCTTCTTATAACGATTGTATTCTTAAAAAAAAAGACATAAATATGTAATCTTATTTTAATGAACTTTAAGTGGTACAAAAATTTAAAATATTCTCTAATTCCGTCGCAACCTTTTTTTTTCTGCTTAAAATGATATTTTATACTTCATCCTACCCAATTTGGTTCCTAACCCCCACAAGTCACAGTGACAGCCCATTTAGGTTTTTTGAAGGACCTAATACGTCGTCGCATGTTGTCTCACACGTGCCCTATGCTTCTCCATACCATAAACAAACTCCGTTTTTGAGGATCTGAGGTGAGGAGTGGATAATTTGTGGTTCTATAAGTCATCAAATTGCGTTCAGCTAACCTTCTCTCAATGTATCTTGACTAATTAAGACCTGATATGCCTGTTGTGGTTAAGTAGGAGTAGCTTCAGCTAGACTTGGAGACGCAACAACGATATTGACCTTGACAGTCTGTGGTGACTCTTGGTCATCCCTGTCCAGGTCTTCCTTTATATTGTCTCTGTAGCTGATAGCAACCAAATTTATCAGATACAGTCGACTACATTACAACTGAATGGTACACGTTCCATCCCAACATGCTTCGTAAAGACAAAAAAGAAAAACCTATGAACATGCCAGATTTGCGAGACCTGCTGATCTGGTTGTAGCCAGTAGCATCGCAGTGTGAACCTTTATCTACAGCCTTGTTCAGATTATCGCATTGTGTCGAGCGACGCGTCGTCAGTAAAACAACCTAGTGATATCAAACGCAAACGTTCAGAGTGAGAGCAACCAGCGAAGCGATGCTCTGTAATATCAATCACGTCGCTCGATGCAACGTTATCGCAACGCGTCGCGCGACGCTCCCACTCTGACCAAAGCATAATAAATCAACACTTAGTCGATGAATGTTCATACTGTTCATACTGTTCATAGTCATTCTTTATCAACAAAGAAGCAGCTCAGCTCCACCAATGGAGAGGTGAATCTCGCCAACCCTCGGGAAATTGCCGATTGCTTTATTCAAAAGCTTTGTGCCACTAGTTGTTGGTTTATTAACCCTTTTAGATTAGAGTTATAGCAGCAGCGCATTCTTCTAGTGAAATATTTCTTGTTCCGAGTTCTTGCACGTTAATTTTTTATCGGTTTTACTAATAAAATTTGCCAAACTCACTATATTTTATCAAGAAATGTCTATTTTTCCAATGTTGCACGACAGGATAAATAAATTGCTTAAAAAATTGTAGAAGACAACACGAATGAACATTTATCAGTCTTAGGGTCCGTTCAAAATTGTACGAGTATATCTGAGATTAAAAGGTTATGCATTAATTTTGTCGCCGCAGTTTATAATGATCTATAAAAAATGTTTTTAAAGTAGACCATGGAATAAATCACGCATGTCGCAGCGCATAATTCTTCTTTATAAATGAGAGTTTGGATTTAACCGATAGACGTTCGTAATTATCACGGACGTAACTCGTATCTCTGTCATTGTCAGTCATGGCCTACTTTCGAAATATTTTTGAAATATTTTTTGTGGATTGTTCGTCTTTTCTACTTCAAAAGAATACATAATACGAAGCTGTGCTGAAAAGTTTGTAGGGCAGTTCTTTCCCGGTTTTCGTTTGTGGTGATCACTTGGATCTTAATACCTTATACTCGAAATTATGCATTTTGAAACGTAGCCAAATATAAGTGTCGGAAAAAATCGCAATCTAAATGCTCGTTCTTTACAAACATTCGCAGATGTTATAATTGCCGTATCATGAAATTTTTCAATAATTTCTGGTTTAATGGCTATTTTTGGAAGCCCACTTCATAGAGCGAAGCAACTTATGGATTCGTATGAACACATTTAAAACGATGCAACCTCTTACTAAGTTACTAACTGTGGTACAGATTCATCTAAGCCAGCCATACTCAACCTGTAGCCCGCGGGCCACATGCGGCCCTCCAAGCTTTTTTTGCGGCCCCAAATACTATTATTAAAACTAGGTTTCTGTTTTTATATTCTTAAGCGAAATGCTCGAAAAAATTTATTGGTCGCAGCCTAAATAGCACTCTAATTTTTAAATTAACGTTTGGAATTTTGTGGGAATACAGCAAAAACAAGATAGCTCCACTTTTGGAATTTTCACTTTCTACAAGTGTGAACGAAGTCTATATTCATGATAAACAGGTAGCTAATAAAAACTAACTTCATTTTAATACATTAACAATATGCACAAACAAGATGGAGTGACATTTATACCAAAACATAATCATAACATTGTGTTCAATTGATAAGTGTGTCTACCAAAACCAGATAATATGCATATAACTTGTATTTGCTAAATATATTTAGTCCGATTCCTAATAGTGTTTCTTCCAAAACAAGATAAAGGCCAGAACCGAGGGGAAACCACTAAGGTCAAAACATACCTGTATTTCGGAAATCACATAAAAACTTTTTATGTGATACGGTGATTCACTGAAAATCCACTTTAATTTTATACGATGATCTTTTTTCTTGGCATTTACGGTTTTGAGCGACGAATTGATTTCGGCCATGATTTTTCTAGAAAATTTGTAGTGATTTCGGTGTTTTCCAGTTAAAACGTACCAGTATTTCGGGATTGGTTTACCGCTACTTATTTTTGTTGAATGGGTTTGTTGAAATACTACAACATTGTGCCCAAGCCATTTGTTTTGTTATGACCTTTCTCGATTGTTCCGAAATTCCCGAGACGATTACGTCATCCTTTCTTTTCGCGATACAGCTAACCTTCAACATCCTCTAGATAATAAAACGTGATGTCTGAATCTCCGTGGTGAACGAGTGATTGGTCAAAATGTAACGAGTGGTGATTGGTCAAGTTGTATCGAGTAATTGGTCAAGCCGTAACGAGCGAATCTTTATGTGAAAATAAAAGTATTAGTGGTAACAGGTGAATTTGAATTTTAACCATACCTACTTTCTAATAGGCACAACTTGTATCGAAAGATTCAGCTATCCAAAATATATTCCACCAGAAAAATAGATTTAATTTATCAATGGGCGAGTGTGGCATTCGGATTTATATGCTAAACTCGTATAGTATTTATTCAGAGGGGTGCATGAAAGGATGAAACAAAGTTATGAAAATACAAAAAAGGGTGTTTTATTTATTAGAGGTCCCCACTAATTAATTTTAGATAGATAGATGGCCTTAAAATAAAGGTCATCATACAAAAATATTGCTGCCCGTGTAAAATAGCTAACATACGAATGTGGCCCGAAGGAAAAAAAGGTTGAGTATGGCTGATCTAAGTCAATGAAGACAAATTTTTTCGGTGTGTCTAATTCAAAAAAAACTATTAACTCAGGTTCATGTACATAGAACCATAGTAAATAAATATTAGATTGGTTATTAGTGACTTTTTTATTGGTTTCAATTGAAAGTTTTTGATTCTGTAAGCGCTACTTATTTCATCTTTCAGTCGGTTTCTCTTGTGCGATTTTATATTATTTAATTCTGAAAATAGGGTCTCAAATTTGTAAATGAAGCCATTGCCAGATTCTTCAGGATATTAACCGGTAATTGATTCCAAACACTCCAAATTTTCTGTTCGTAATGGCACTCTTCTTCGTTCTGCAAACGATTTCTTTCCAGTTTCTCAAGTATCGATCTCAAGTCGACAAATACTTGAACCCATATGCTGTCTTGCTAAACTCATCAAATTGCGTCCATTGGAAACCATTTAATTCCAAATTACTGTAAACTATTACATGCGAAGACATGGCTAGATGAATAATTGTGATTTTTTGGCTGCTAGTCGCTTCTTAGCGCGTTTTGACAGTTTTTAGCCGATGATCCTCCGCAGTATGTTTCACCCAAATTTTCTTAGCGTATCATCTTTGATACGCGTGTCATAGATTCGCCATCACTGATCTAAGCTCTTTCATTCCAATAAATCAATAAAAAGGAAGTTGCGCAAGCATTTTAAAACCAATTGATCACAGTACTGACTTTTAACAGTAACAATAGAAATCATCGAATATTAAATTTCCAAGAAAACAATGGCGTCGTCCTACGAACTTTTTAGTCTATGAGTATTTTAAATAATGGCATTCCAATTTTTTTTGCTTTAAATCTGAATGATACATTTTCTCATATTTAAAGAAATAAATTATAAGCCTTTTACTTACTGTATTAATTTAAAAAAAAATCGATAATGTGCATTCCTTTGAATCTATAAAAGCTTCTGTCACGTCTTGCACCTTTACAACGTTCTTTATTCTAATATTTTTGTTTTATTTTTATAGGAAGATCAAAATAGAGGTAAACCAAATTGGGAACATCTCTCTGATGAACTTCACGTCCTTCTCACAGTCGAAGACACAGAAAACAGAGCCCAATTAAAGTTACAAAGGGCAGTAGAAGAAGTTAGGAAACTCTTAGTACCTGTAAGTATTGTTTAGTTATTTTTAAACCAGGATTTATTAGATTTGTATTTAATAACTAAAATATATTACTATGTAGTCGGAAACAGTTGCTAAATCATGCGAATAAAGGGGAATAAAGGGATAGCTTTAACAGATTTTTCACACCGAATGTACGTAAATTCAATAAATATGTTTGTGCATCATACTCTGATGAGACGAACTTTTACTTTTTACTTTTCAATAAACACCATATTCTCTATTCAATATTTTTTTCAGTGTGCTCAGTTTTTCTATTATTATTTTTTCTAGTTTTTTCACTTTTTCTACGTTCAACTTTTAAAAATAAAGATCATTTAAAATAGTAAACTTTACCCAGTTTTAGTTTTGTTAAGTAACTTTTCATAAAATTATTTAAAGTTTTTATTAAATCGTAGTATCAATGGGATAAGTTTTTCGCTCTCTATGCATATTTAAATTATGTTCTTTTATCCCAGTTCTGCCTTACATTTCTTTCTCCGTTTTACTCAAACCTAAAACTTATACACTTTTATTCAAAAGCTTTTTATAATAAATGTAATTTAGTGAAAATATTCCATAATATGAAAATCTTAACTTGGGATTAAAGAATAAAGAAAGATTCTAGAAATGAAGAGAACAATAAAATTTCTGGTCTTCTGGTGTGTGACAGCCATTCAAAATATTATTTTTCTTCGTTAGAGAGTCATTACTTTAATAAGAATTATTTTAAGCTATTTCAGCCAATTCTAAAAAAAAAGAATATATCTTAAATTTTTTTGACAATATCAAAATCAAATACTTCACAAAAATTAACAGAATATGGCTATGATGACAAAAATAATCAACAGGTACATTTTTGTACAGTCATCAGAAATGGTGATAAATCATTCGCTTTGACAACACTGTTCTGTACGTCAACGAAGCAAATATGATAATATCACACTATAAGAATTCTTCAATGGCTAATCTTTGATGTTCCAGACTGTATATACAGTTTATTTATGGAAAAAATTATCGAATCATAGGTCTGTTCCAACCAGTGATGTAAAATTACTGTAATTTATATTTTTGGTAATTTACGGTGGTAATTTACGGGTTTTAATTACCAAAATTAATTACCATGGTAATAAATTTGTGTCGTAAATTACTGTGGTAATTTACCGTAATATATTTTATACACATTCAAGACTAAATGACTTTGAAATGAAATTAAGGTGTGTGTCTGTGTCGAACATAGAATTGTTTCATTTGTTTGTGAATAAAACCAATTATTTGTTACTAAATATAATTTAAATTTAGGTTTAAGTAATATAAAACGCGAAAGAAAACAAAAAACATCAAATGAAATTTTATTGTTTGTGAAGGTGCTTAATCTAAAAAAAAAACCGTACTTTGCATAAGAAAATTTATATAAATTTTATAAGAATTATGTTTAATTAATAATTATATTATGCATATGTTACGTTGGCATTTCACAATGAGCTGGACTAAATGAGATCTCTAAATTAACTATTTTATCCAGTTCAGTTTCGCTATCTACTTTAGACCAGTCGGATTCATATTCAGATTCAGACTCCAAAGAAGATTGTAATGAACCGGATGAACATTCCGCTATATTTAAATTTTGTCTGATATAAACATTTTTTTGTGCCCTTTCATTTGTTAGTCGGTTCCTTTTATTTGTTATTTATTTGTTTAATTATGGTAAATTAACATGGTCATTTATCGGTAATTTACTTTGTAAATTACAAGTAAATTACTGTAATTTATTTCTGGTTAATTACGGTAAATTACCACGGTAATTTATCGGTAATTTACCAGTTCACATATCTGGTTCCAACACACGCGAAAACGATATTTCGGCACAAATCATGCGCTGTATACAATTTTTACAATGATTTGTACCGTAATATTACCGTTTTAGCGCATGTTGGAACAAACCTATTAATAATAATAATAATAATAATAATAATACTCTCCCTAATTCACCCCCTTACGAGTGAATTTCAACCCCTGAAGTCGACTGAACGACTTGTGTAGGGGAAGGGACGGCTATTATTATTATTATTTGCCGTGGCGCTCCGGGGCGACTTAAGGATGATGGTGCCATTTGACTTACAGGTGAGGAAAACCCGGAAAACCTCACCCACCATCATCGATACGATAATGTATGGCGATTTTATAATCTGCATGTCATATCAACAGAAATTGAATTTCCATTAATACGGCACACATCAAATCCTAAACCGAACCATGCAATTTAATTAAAAATCCACATGGTCTGGTCTGGGATTCGAAGCCCAGAATTCTCGGACTCATAAACTCGCCTATAAATGAATATAAGCGCGATAGACCGCTACACCATCGACCCGATATTATTAGTTGTATTTACAACAAAAGAAAAATCATGAATATATTAGATAAAAAAAAAAACTAGAAATACTTAAACACAGTTAAACAATGTTCTACTTTCCTTATAAACAACTTAAAATTGTTTTTAATTATTTCGGTTACTACAACTCTAAATTTCAAGAAATATAATCACTTATTCTTACTACGATCGATACTTTTCCCGAGTGTATTTTGATTCAATCGAATACATTTCTCTCTTCGCCTTTGCCCAGATTTATTATAAACTAGAATCTAGTTCACAAAATAAAATAAATATTATAAATTATGGGAAACACAGCCATCAACATATCAATTAAATTGTACGCTTTAAAACCTCCCATCCCATCGTTGCATGCCGCGTTTCTAATTCTAATTTACAATAAACTTGTATTTTCCAATTATAATAAATCAGACTAATTAACATACATTTCGAATAAGGGTATAAATAAACATATTATAATACAGAATTGGACCGGCATAACTGATCGATAAAATTATTGAAACGGTTTATGTTTTATTTGCCATCAATACATCGTATAATCATTGTCAGCAATATAATTTTATTATTAAAATTTCTAGTTTATTTCCAAAATCATAGGTACTAACTTCTTAGCTATTCTCTTTAATATAAGATACTCGAATCTCGTATCTTATCTATAATGACCCTATTTTAGGAGGTGGACACTCTTTGTATTTAAACTTTTCATTTTCTGGCCAGGAGTTCGACTTCCCCGTTCTCCAATATTCTTTCCGGTCTCCGACACTCATTAATAGTGATCATGAAAGGTTCTGTCAGATATGTAAATGAGAGTTTTCGCAATCTAATATTACCTAGTATCCCATATTCAGACTTAAAATCATTATTTAAAGAAAAAATTATAACTGATTGGCAAGAAAAATATGATAACACGTTAACTGGTTTAAACTTTAAAAATTATCACAAACAAATTCCAAGATTAAGATGGTTCCATTCAGTAACCAACAGGCACTTTGTAATAACTATAAACAGAGCAAGATCAGATCATGCATTAACTCCATCCTATAAATACAAAATAGGCATTGCTGAAAATCCATACTGTTTATGTGGAGAATATGGAAATTTGGAACATACGTTACTGGAATGTCCACTAAACTGGGAGAGCCTAAATACCTTTTATAATGAACTAACAAAAAATGGGCAAATTTTACCAATTAATTTTAATTGTATTAGATTTACTAACAATACTAGTATATTATTTTGTACTTACCAACACATCAAAAGATGTAATATAAAATTGTAAATAATACTAACGACAGTTTGTAAGCAACTTTGCGATTATCACAAAAATTGTACGTGCATTCAAAAAAACAAAACAAAAAAAAATAAAAAAAAAAAAAAATACAAAAAAAAAAAAATTATTACAAAAAATATATAATATAATACAACAAAAAAAAATAAAAATAAAAAAGAAAAATTTATATAAGCATACATACCTAATACTAACAATAGAGATATTAACAAATATTTGTGTATTTGTAGATTTGAAACATTATTGTGTATTCGTGGAACATACAAAAGTCTGGCTAATTGGTTCCTACCACAGCCATTTAACTAATTAAAAAAAAAAAAAACTTCTTAGCTATTCTCTTTAATATAAGATACTCGAATCTCGTATCTTATCTATGATGACCCTATTTTAGGAGGTGGACAGTCTTTGTATTTAAACTTTTCATTTTCTGGCCAGGAGTTCGACTTCCCCGTTCTCCAATATTCTTTCCGGTCTCCGACACTCATTAATAGTGATCTTGAAAGGTTCTGTCAGATATGTAAATGAGAGTTTTCGCAATCTAATATTACTTTACATCTACCCATCAATTTTGCATATTTATTAGGAAACATTTTTGTGAAAATTGACATATAAAACAAATATTAGTCCGTTACTGTACGTTCACACACACATAATTTAACGATTTGTGGATTTTAAAATATCGATAAAGGCTTATTTTACTATTTATTTTGCTAATCAATTTTAATGAATGTCACTCTTCAACCTGGGAACATAGAAAATGAGGTCTTCATGGATTCTTAAGATTGTATTATACGTTCACAGTTATCAGAACCACATCTAGATATAGTTAGCCGGAGAAAGTTGATTCTTCATAAAAATGAATTATAAAAATACTTAAATGATACGAATTGTTTTTTCCTTAAATAATTATTTCCGTAATACCCATGAATGATGAATGTATAAAATGATCACACGACATAGTTATTAGTTGTTAATTTTCTTCTTTATTGTTTATGCAGTTTTAATATAACAACAGTAATTTTGGGTTGATTGACACTTACTGTTAGATTTATTTTTGTGTGTATTTTAGTAATTTTAAGAATCGATAATATTCGTATGCCAAATGCGGGCCTTTATCTTTGATTTTCACTTTTGCCTCTATTCTTAAGCATATTTTTAACAGTCGCCCACAATTTTCATAATTATTACTGTTTTGTAACTAAAACAAAACGTTAATAGAATATTATTCAACAAGCGTATAACGGCCAATATTGACGAACATGAAATTTGCATGATGAGCCGAAGACGAGTGTTGCCATCATCCAAGTGAGTCATAGCCGTTGTACGTGAGTTCATTACTACACTTTATCTAAAACTGTTAACCTAATAAATCATAAATTAATTTATATTGTGGCGTGGAAATACAATACAAAGTTTTAATTGTCTCGACAGTAAAACACTCTTGATGTGTTGCACAAATAAGTTGATAATAATTATACTGATGGTTTGTTCATTTCAATTGAATTTTGACAGAACCATTCAATAATAATAATAATTATTAATAATAATAATAATAATAATAATATTCAATGAAATTTTCATTATTTTTCAGCTCAATAGTAATAGTAGTTCAGATTCGTATAATATAATGCACATAGTTGTAGATAAATACTTCTTTTCCTTTTTATTTATTTTTTTTGTACATTTTCAGCAAGCAGATGGTGAAGATGAATTAAAGAAAAGGCAGTTGATGGAATTAGCCATAATAAATGGAACTTACAGGGATTCAACTTCGAAAGCAGCGGCCGTAGCAGGTATTTTAATTTCCTTATTTAATAAATGAAAAAAAAAAAATGTGTGGACATACCCCAACAGTGAGATTTTTTCAACTTATTGCAGAAGAATATTAAATGCAATGTTTGTTGTATTCCGATTGTGGAAATTAAAATCGTGGAGAAGAAAACTTTTACACCTAAAAAATAGGCCCAGGACCCTATTTATTTATTTATTTATTTATTTATTTTTTTTTTTTTTCAAAATTCAAATAGTACTTATTTTTAGATATTCTATCACTCTTAGATTTTACTTCAACAATTGTTTGGAAACTAAATATTTTAAGGTCACAAAAGATTTTTAGTCCAAAAATTAGGAGAAAAATTATAATTTTCAAATAAATCGTTCGTGTTTCTGACTTTATTTAAAAAAAAGTAATGATGATTCTCATAAAACCAACAAAACCGAAAGGATTTTGCCCATATCTCAGGAAGTGTATATAGTGCAGCTTCGGGGAAAAAATATTTAATGGTCAAAGTGGCCACAAGATTAGATATCATAACTGAACACAAAAAAGTAAAATGCTTATTTTATACCAAATGTATCAAGTTAAAATCGTCCAGAAAATTCTACTTATTTTTTGCATTTCCTTCTATCTTGTCATATAAGAGGAGAGGGGGAGTGTGAACCGTGATTTGAACAAACTTAACCGAATTATGCAAACTTGGTCTTGGTATTTACCAATGTAATATTTATGAAGATCGTACCAATCTAATAAGTAAAATAAGCAGGTAGGGACGTGTTTGAGACCACCCCCTCCAATTTTTTTCGTTTGTAAGCCATCTCCATATGAGGGCATGGTGCCACTCATCTGTTATGCCATTTCATATATCCTGCCCTTCTAGGCAAAAGAGTGGTATATGCATTTTGACTATACAGTAGACCCTCGGTAACGAAGCCCCTGTCTCATCCGACATACCAATTTAATTTTTTTTATAATTTCTATGGCCACTGCGTTAATAAAAGACCTTTGATGCCCAGAATCGAGTCGTGTACGCCATTTTTCGATTTAAGATATTCTGTTGTTTAATATACGAAGTCGCATATCGTATAGTATAGATTTTATCTCGCCATTTCCAAAATTTGTCGAATTATATGGTACTCATTTTCAAAAAGTTCGGAACTATTGGAGGTGAGTGGCAGCACTCTATATTCCAAATTTGATAATCCGACAATATCTTCTTTGTAAACGTTCGACTCTAGCACGTCATATTTTTTAATGTATAAAGTCTTATCTACAGCAAAAAAACGTGTTTTTTCACGATCACTATCCAAGTAGGCTTTTGCGCTTCGAAATACAACCGCAAAGTTGACGTTTTCCGCGAACTGACATTAAGTGACAGCTTTGTCACTCGCCGAGCGGAAAACTTGACAGCTTTGTTGCTCGCCTAATTTAAATTAGATATATTTCTATTTAATAAATGATTTTCAAGTTATTTGTACGTAGTTTCATGTTTGTTTTTTTTTTCCAAATCATCAAAGTTAACATTATCCGTTTTTTCATGAATAACGTATATATAGGCAACCCGTTATACACTACTTACGACAAATTTTCAGATTTTGTATCTATTTCTTGAAATAATGTGATCGTAGAAAAAATCTTGTGTGCATTTTGAGCGAAAAGTTCGTTGCCGCTTTCGAGAGATTGCCGCGCTCTGCTACGCGTCGCGCGGCCAACTTTTTGTCTCAAACGGAAAAAGTATCACTTTTTGCTCTTAATACATAAATAGCTATTTATATTCAAAACTAATTCGCATAACTACGAGCTCGGAAATATGAACAGAATTGCCGTATCTCAAATATTTAGCATTATTAGTCGTATTGTTAGATACGACTGTTATGCTTAGAAGGCAGTATCCGCCGCTAGATGGCTTCACCTGTCATTATACTTCACCCAACCACGACTAGATGGCGCCACCTACAATTTAGCACCAGCTAGAAGGCGCTGTTTACATTTTTTTAGTAATCTAGTTCTAGTTTTCACGAAAATATTAAATGGAAGTATGCAGTTCTTACCACGCATTAAAAGAGTAGACTGAATTACCAACAAATTCTGAGAAATCTTAAGAAACGTGTAAATGTAAGTAATTTTTCTTTAAATATCGATTACTCTGGTTCAACTGAACGGACTTTAATAATTTTGTACTCGTAAAAAAATACTCCTTGGCCTATTCATAATTATTTATTGTTACTGTCAGTTGTAGAGGGCGAAATTTAGATTAATTTTAAAAAAATGGGCGTGGAACTTTTTATGTCTACAAAATTGAGAACTAAAATCTTAAAATGTTAGAGAAAATCTTAAGTTACTAGATAACTTTTGTCTAACGATAGAGACAGATATTAGCAACTGAAGTTGTAATTATTAATTACTAGATATGTATGTAGAATGGAATTTTGCAAACAAGGTAATAATTAAAAAACAAGGATAATGTACTCGTAAATACAATAAAGCAGAAATGTGTCCTATTTATCAAACCTGTCATCGTGATTTTGTGATTTTACGGTTTCATTTCGATTTATTGCTATTAAATTCGTATTTAAGTTTAAAATTTATTGAATAGTCTTTTGTTCTGTTGTTTTATTCTACTGTTTACTTTTTTGGTGTTTTAATTCACTATTTTTTAGGGTGTCTAAAACTCTAAACATAAAGTTCCACGTAATTTTCTTATCTAAAATTGCGTAATTTTTCATTTAAATATCATTAACATCCTCTACCGGTTACTGCAACAAAAATATTATTAAATTATTGTGGATAGGCAAAATAAAGTCGTTTATAATTAGTTCAAAATTGTAAAATTCGGTTCAGTTGAAAGGGTAATCGATATTTAAAGAAAAAGATATCGATGCCCGGTTTGCGCTGATTTGTTGGTAATTTAGTATACTCTTTGGTGAAAATTGCATACTTCCATGTAATATTTTCGCAATAAAACTAGATTTCTTAAAAATTTAAAAGAACGTCTTCTAGCTTGTACGTTACTTATTATATTGGTTCAAATTTACATTGATGGAGAAGAGCTGTTTTCAACAAATATCGATTCCACTCCCCCATCCTCTTATATGACAAGATAGAAGGAAATTATCTTATTTTTTGAAGACCTTAACTTTGTAATTTTTTTATAAAATAATCATTTAACTTTTTGGCATTCAGTATTTTAAAGTAGTAAAATATACTTTTCATAAACTTCTATAACACTAGAAAAAAATAATTGTCGCTTGTTTAAAACATAAAAATAAAAATATTGTTATTAATTACCTTTATTTTTTTTTTGTTCAAATTGTTGATACTAGAAAACAAAAAATGTCGCATCAATTTCATTTTCGTTCATTTTTTAATACACAATTTTAGATATTTCAGTCAGTCTAGATAATATAAATAATGTGTTATGTACTATAAACAGTTCACGAGATATGTTCTTATTGGATCATCCGCTACAAATACAAATAAAAATGTAATTTAAATTTTTGTCCTGAAAACTGTAGTGGAGTGGTGTAGAATACTCGTCAATAAGATTATGATGCGACTCTACGGGCGCATCCATTTTATTTTTCATCTTACTCAGTAGTAATTATAATAACCATTTTCAATTTCACTCTAAACAATCCTGATCCAACATATTGTGGACCAGGCAAGAAAATTATTATAAATACTTCCGAGTGATATGCACAATAAAAATAGCTGTGCTCATAGAGTGCACCTACTCCATGACATGAACATACAAATAGGCATTCTACCCCACTCTACTTTATTAGTCGTGAATCATCGTTAGAAAAGAAACAAATTTATGTCAGTAGAATTTTTAATTCCAGCCTGTGACGAAGAATGGAGGCGGTTAGCCGCCTCAGCGGTGGAAACCCAGCGTCTCCTGTCTCCCGCCATGCCCGGTCTCGGCAACCTGAGGTCTCAAGGTACACCTTTGGGCGCCCCTCTAATCCTCTCACCAAGGATGTCCGTTCCAACGTCGGCAGCTTCCATCCTCAACGGTTCAGCGCCACCCGGATCACTTCTGTCCCCCGGGGATCCACATGGGTTAATCTACACCCCCTATGCAGATTACACGAATTACGCAGCACTTGCAGCCTCTCCCCTATTAACGGAATACGCTACGGCTGATCATTCGGGTGGGTTGTTTGCCCGTTAATTTTTTTTATCTAAGCGGGTCGTACTTTTTTGTACTTAGATTGTGTTTGAAAGAGGCTGTGTATTTGAAGAGGTGTGGTTACATGGTCTCTTTTTAATGAAAAATTTTATTAGATTTATTTGTTTTTATTATCGGTAGGATTTACGGCGTTGTTTTTATTATTTGTTCATCGGGAAAATTTTCTTTTTTCGAATAATCTCGAGGAAAAAGTTCGTTGTCATTGGTTTAGGAATTGAAGTATAAGTGCCATTTTAAATATTTTCGTTTTAAAAGTACGCACTAAATGACAGCATTCTAGTGGTTAAATGCTAGATGGTTAGCAACACTAGATAGTGGAATAATGTAATATATTGAAGTTTTATAACAATATTTAAGGGCGAGTATGTAATCTTTTATTTATTCTTTCTTACGGTTTTTTTATTAGATGTACTTTCTACAGATTTGCATAACTGATGTAGATTTATATTTGTGCTAAGTTTGTTCATAAGTATTGACAATTTTTCGCAAATAATTTGTTTTACGAGTTACCAAAATCACATTTTTTGACGCGAGAGAACAATTTACCAAATAAATTTTTTGTTTTCATTTTTAACTTTTAAACGAAAAATTATGCAACATTTTAAATTTTGGATAGTGCTCATAAAATTTGTATATTCAACGATTTATATATTTTTTTATTTGATCGAAAAACTGACCATCTGTCGGTCGATCAAAATTTTCTATTTTTATTTGTGATTTTTTTGGGATAATATAAGAACCATTCTGCACGATTTCTAAATTTTGTCGTATGTCATCGTTTGTTTGTTACGACTTGTTTTATGTTGAAAAACATGAAAACAGTTTGACAGACTGAAAAAATAAAAATTTATTTTTAAATTATCGACTACGCAAATTTTATGAACATCCAGAAAGATTCGATAGGTAAATTATTTTCAAACTCCATTAGACCATGTACTAAAATAATAAATAAAAAAGCGAAATTATTCCAAATTTCCGTTTATATTACGATTTTCAAAATAATAATTTTTTTTATAGTAATTTTTTTAAAAATTCAAATTATTTAATTTCATGAACAATTCTATTTTCAGTATGTTTTGTTCATATATGTATTTTATATTAAAAAAAAATATTTTAATGAACTAATTAGTTGCGTCACTGTAATTTTTAAATAGTCCATTTAATAGTAAATAATTATCTAGCCATTGTTAAAAAAAATTAATTTACATCAATAAAGCAACATCAAATTTTATCAAAATGAAGAACAAGTAGAATTAAATATAAATTAATTTTTTTTATATATAAAAGACGAAATTAGTTTGAGCAGGATTTTTTTCTTATTCATTTTACATTTATTATTAAACAATCATAAATAAATTAGGTAAAATACTTTCTTCGTGAATAGTGTATAGGAAGTACATTTACTAAAAACGCCATAAAAAAAAAGAATGCAAGAGACAAATTCACTCTTATTAGCGATATTCTGAAATTCTAATATTCCGATTTTTTTCAATTCTAACTTACATCTATATCAGTTGTAACTGAATATTTGCAAATATTCAAAATAATAATTGTAGTAGTACACCGAAAAATAATAAAGTGAAGTGTACAAAAGGATTGCATATATCTATTCTTAACGAATCTAGAAAAAAAAAACCCACAAACAAAAACTTAAAAAAGACCTCTGGAAAATTGACCCCGATTATGTTTAGGAGCATAAATGAAACAAAATATATTTTACATAATATGTATTACAAGTCTACAAAAAATTACAAAATTATTTTTTATGTTGTGTTCAAAACTAATACTGATGTTATGAGATACGTGTTTAAAAAATTAGCAATATCTTTCTTTGTCATTAAGTTGCTGTCAAAACAGCTTTAATCTGATAGCTCGTATCTACATTACTTTTGGCTCCAAATCATATCAGTTTTGCAGAATCCTTCACTAATTCCATCTGCATCTTATTAACACTTAAACATATAAATGATCTTGACCAAAAGGGTTGGAAAATCCGTTGTTTCAACCCTCTGTTTGGCCGTTAGTCCTATCTTGAAGATCATTTCATAATTTTTTAAGCTTCTGTAGTTATATCTATATACATATTGTTTTCAAATTTCTTGGTACAGTGGTTTTTTCAGAGGTTTTTTTTTTTCGGTGCTTTTTTACTATTATTAACACTCCATTAGTCGCGTTCCTTAAAACACCAAAAAAGAAAAATTGTTCATTATTGCAACAATGTATTCATTAAATATTTTTCATTTCAGGGCTAGATACTTATTTTCTGAGAATTTGAAAAATGTTGTTGCTACTTGCTTAAAAATTTACATTTTATAGTTCTTAGTTACATTATATTCTGGGAATATATGTGGTTTACAAAAATTACAACTGTTATATATAAACAAAAGTGAAGATGCCACTTTATCTTTTTACAATCTTTATTTAAACACAAAAACTTGTTGACATTGGAAATAAGTAGGTGTTAAACTATAAATTTAATTTTAATACAGTGTGTGCCATAAAATTGAATACTTTTTCAATATTTTAAAAACTTATAACCCATATCAAATTTAACTACTTACATTAGTTAACTGTCAAATTCGCATTTAAATAAAAAGACCATTAAGGATTTTTCAAAAAATATTGCGAATTAGACAGATAAGTAGTGTCAGTAGCCAATTTTGATATGAGCTATTTTAAGTTCTTAAATAAGCATAGGTGCAATGCCCTATGATGTTTTTTCCATAGGTAATATTAAAAAAAAATCCCATGAGGATCCAACTTTATGGCACACATTGTATATTAGACACCTCATCAGTTACTCTATCTAAGAGATGTTGCAGTCTATATTTCTCAAAAATCTATACAGGATGTTTCGCAATTAAATCCAACAATTTTAACCAATAACCAAATTTTTAAAAATATTTTGAACCACTTTGTTAAGATGTGAATAATAAACAAATAACAAATAAATACAGAAACTAATTAGGTTTTCTAAAAAGGTTGAAGTATGTTATTTAATATTCATAAATAAAATCCGTTGTGATAAACTAAATAAAAGAGGATCAAAACTAAAAAAAATGCCATGTCTAAGATTCAGTTGCAAATAGCTGTCATGCTAATAATAATAAAAAGAAGGCCTTTATACAGATTAGGAAAATAATATACGAACCATTCGGTGTAGTTACGTCCATCTCTATTAATAAAATTTTAGACCTCTATGCTAGTATTCGTAACACTTTGGAGAACATCGTAAGTAAATCGGTCAACATGTACAATGCTTACGCTGCTGGAGTTAAACCAATTCTACGTCGTCTACATTGTCAAAAATGTGATTATGAGCCTAATAATGCAGTAAGAAGAGGGCAAATTGATGAATAGCGTGAAAACCTTGCTCTAGTAGTAGGTAAATATTTGAATACATTAAAATTGGGCCCAAAAATAGGCACCATTGCTTTAAATTCCAACGAGCCCAAAAAACATTTCCTGAGGACAGTTTCAGACGTATGGAGTTTTGCGTACTAATGACGAATCGGCAGAATCAAAATGAAAACCACGACACCCAATCCATCCGAAATGAGATATTGGTCTCGGGAAAATAAACCTTTAAATACCTATTCCGACACACGCACAGTACCCTGAAAAATCAGAATTTTACTTTTGTTTTTAGCTTTTTGCATGAACATTTTTTTTTATTTTTAAAGTCATAATGACTAGTAAATTATCTAAACAATAGTTATTTGAAGAATTTTAAATTATCACTTTGAAATAATTCTTAGTTATACAATCATGAGAATCTACGTAAATATTGTTTTTAATTAAAAGGAACAACATGCCAACAGTTACTAAACCTTTGCTAAACTTTAGTTTGAAGCTTGATGATTGATAAAAGCAAAATCGAACGCATGAGAGGTGATAGATATGTAGAAGTTGGCACTCGCAGTGCCTATACCCTATAGCTCATATACTTTTTCCTAACCTGTATATACATTGTATGGGAATAACTTCGGTAATTTTAAAATACTCAAAAGTAAACATTTTTAATATATTTTGCTGTAAAGCTAGTCCCTAAATGATTTTTAACACTTTCCAAAACTTTCAATATTTGCAAAATTACACTCCCTACAGTTCTTGGACAACATTAAATGTGCGTCAATGTGCGTTTAGAATAAATCCTATGAGTCTCGAAAGATTTCACATGATTTTAATAAAATGCTGGGTGAACATTTTATTAAAATATTACTTGACTCCTAGAATGCTTTTAAAAAATGTTATGATAGTGAATCATTATTTCAATGGGTAAAAAATGCCAAATAAGAATGTCTCCATTAGAGAGTAACAAAAAACAAACATTTAAAAAAAAATAGCAAAGGGTGTTACTTATAATGTGGTTAAAATGTTGGATTTTATTTCTAGGACATCCTGCATAAAATAACACCGATTTCTGTCAATCCCTATTACTGAATACCAATTTTGGCATTGACGGTGTGTTAAATATTTACTTTTATAAAATTTGCATGCAAGGTTTTTTATCACTACTGTAAGTAACATCAGTAATAACGATCACAAACTTTGTTTAATTTTGGGAGAGATTATTGAATTTAAAAAATAAAACGCGACAATTGGAGTGTTAATTTTTTTAATCCAAGCGCCGTTTTTTATTTCATATGTCAACTAGTTTTTCATCTTAAAATATATTTGAACAAGTACATAAAGCGTTGGATTGTGGTAGTCATAAAACTTCCTAAACTACTAAGGAAATCGTGTTTACAATAATAAAAGGAAGCTACAATATTTATTGATATAAAAACATAATTTCAAATGGCAAAAATCACCAAGTCCAAATTAGTGGTTTTGTGAACTAAGCCCATTTAATGATTTTTGCCTGATTTGAAAAGGTACGTTTGTGACTTAGTGATTTTTTTCGTGCATATGCAACCGGTTATACATACTTATGTTGACTAAAAATGTAAAATTTCCCTT